GAGATGCATCGAGAGACATTGAAGCTAAGGAAGAAGGTGCTCGGGGAGGAGCATCCTGACACGCTGACGAGCATGAATAACCTGGCCTCGGCGCTGAGTCGTCAGGGGAAGTACGCGGAGGCGGAGGAGATGCATCGAGAGGCATTGCGGCTAAGGAAGAAGGTGCAAGGGGAGGAGCATCCTGAGACGCTGACGAGCATAAACAACTTGGCATATCTTCTGGCATTACGATCTCGATTTGTGCAAGCTGCGATCTTCTATGAGAGAGCAATAGCTGGATATCGGCGAGTCCTTGGACCTGATCATCCTACCACCAAGGCGTGTGCGGAGCACTACTCTTCATTCCGGAATTCTCGGGGCAATAAGAAGTAGGCTGAGTTTCGAAGCGAACGAGGACATGTACGGTTGGACAATGCAGCATCCGATCTATCTTACTGAACTATTATATGTACAAGTGCTTGTAGTTACATCGAGATGGAATGTTCTTTTATTGTATATGTATCGCACGCTTGGTGGTCCAGTTCCAATCCGATCTGTTGCTGCTCTTAGATTTCTCGGTTGACCTGCCGCAGCCACGGAATGATAGGTGAAATATTACGGGTACCATACGCGGACTGTCGAAACTTGAGGTGTTGAGGACGTTTTATGATTGGTGGTTTCAGAAACCACACCTAGAGTAGATAAAGTAATGCATCCGAGCCACGTGAACTTGGAGTGGGGCGGAGATAGCCTCGAGTTGTCTTTGGGGTGAAGGTAATTTTGCAAGAGACTGTAAATGGTTTTATAATTCATAGATTTGCCCAATCGGCTGGCTGGAAGACATCGTTTACTAACCAGTCTCTGTGACGGGTGGAGCCGAGGAGTTTACCGAACCCAGGTTCTATTGGCCAGCTTTCGATTGCATAGTTAGATATCAAAATGTCTCGCCCAGGTCGTTACAGCATAAAAACAACATCTACGCCTGTATAAGCCAGGTTACTCTGGAGGCATTGCTCTCCCAATTGTTTGTTGTCAATAGAACAGCGCCTCCACCGCCTATGGGTATTTTTGAGAGTCATTTAGGCATGTCGTCAGCTGGCGTCTTCCCCGCCACCCCGAGCATCACTGACCCCGATGGCTACACCCTCCGTGACTATCCCCGTTCCAGTCCTAGTGATGCCCTTCTTCAAATCGACGAAGTTAGCTTTGACCCACCACAGAAATCCACAGCACTCAATGACTACCAAGTCTACCTAGCGTCGCAATGGCCTGAGTTCGAGCGTGAGGATGACTTAAAATCCTCAGAGAATCAAGTGAAGCTCGAGCCCTGCGAGACGGAAAAGTTCGTCAACACGATGTAACACAACCCTACCACAACCATCTCGCAGTACGGTCAACTGACATCACCACAGATCCAACTCTACTGCCAGCACCAACTCCAGAGAAGACAGATTACCTGCCAAGTCTCAACCGGCTGAACCACCACGAGATCGAGGGAAAGGTTGGCCGAGGAACTCGGAGGTAGCCACTGCTATCTCCAATACAACAACCACCGCGGGGCGCAACCGAAAACCCACGCGAAAGCCGTCCACCACCATTGAAGTAGGAGACTCGCCAGAAGAGCAGAAGCGGAAACAGTTGCTCGAAAAGAATAGACAGGCTGCTGCAAGGTGGAGAATCAAGAACAAGGAAAAGACGGAAAAGTTACGACGGGAGAATGCGTACCTCAAGGACCAGGTGGCGCGCATGAAGAACCAGATCCAATATATAAATGAGATCCCAGTCGCACACACAAACTACAAAGGATACAAGTCTCCCGAAGAGATCCCGGCCCACCTCAATACCCTTGACAATGACTTTTTCATTCAACAGCTTACCTTCGCCGGCTACGACTTTAGAGAATTTTCTCAGATGGACTTCTCTGGCTTCACGCCTGACAGTCTCTTCTCAACCTCAAATCCCGGCGCAAGCATGTATGCGCCTCTCCAAGAATTCAATCCCACAGCAGAGTTCGACGTACATACTCCAGCAGCCGATTGAAAAAGACACTTACGGCGAGATTATCATCCTTTCCCCACAACAAATACGACGCTTGATCTGTTTTGGTTTCCTAGGAGAGCCGGGGTGAAGGGGCAGTCGACAATGTTGTTTTCCGTCTTGTGCCGACAGAGGAGGCTCGTGTTTGAAGATACCCATCAACAGAAATTCGTTTGTGGCTTCAACTACTATTCTTCGTCATCCCCGAAGATGGTAAAATCCCCATTTTCCCGCCTTTGGCGGCGAACAAGAAGTCCGCTGCCTAGATCATAAACTCGAACGCTATTGTGGGTAAAAAGGGGTTTCCTTATCGCATGTGCATATATAGAAGGGGTGCCCGCAAAGTTGCTTTTCATCAAACGGCGGGGCCTTGAAACAGGACGGTTACTTGCGCAAGAGTTTGAAAAATTATCAACCTCTCTGACATAGATTGCTCTCTCCTTTCTGCTTCCCATCGCTCTGCCTCTCGCTGTGTTCACAACTGCATTCTCTCACGTGCGGTTTTTGCTGCCGGTTCAGCGTGCGATCTCAGCCGGTGAGGCATTTAAGGTTTGAAGAACAGTGCGGCACAGACTGTGCTACAGTACTGCAACAAACGGCTGAGAGGCTTGACGCCGGCCACGGCGCGTCAGTTGTTCACTTCCACGGTCGTCCCCGTGGTGGATTATGCCTCCAATGTCTGGATGCACGCTTTCAAGGACAAGCTCATAGGACCCATTAACCGGGTGCAAAGGATCGGAGCGCAAGCGATTGTGGGGACATTTATGACGGTAGCAACCAGCGTCGCGGAAGCCGAGGCCTGCATCGCACCGGTGCAAGATCGGTTCTGGCGACGGATCATCAAGCTCTGGACGGATATCCATACACTACCGGACACCAACCCACTTCGCAGAAAGACGTCACGGATGCGAAGGTTTCGGCGACAACATCGCTCTCCGTTGTACGAAGTGGCCGAGGTGCTCAAAGATTGTGCGATGGAAGAGCTCGAGACCATCAACCCGTTCACACTGGCACCCTGGGAGCAGCGAGTACACACGATCATCGACGAGGCCGCAGCAGACAAGGTAGATGCGGCGGTGCGGGTAGCGGTCAGCTGCTCGGTGCGCAACGGCCTCGTCGGAATTGGTGGAGCCACTCAGTTGGCAACCTCAACACGCAGCAAGCCCAAGCGTAGGACCTTTCACGCTACGATCGGCACGCGATCACAACAAAATCCATACTCTGGCGAACTCGCCGCGATGGCGCAAGCCCTGAGCTCGTTACCACAGCTGAGGTTTCGTAGGATCGCATTACTGACCAGTAATAAGGCAGCGGTGCTCTCGCTAAGACGACCACGTCAACAGTCGGGACAGGAATACATCGGTCGCATTTACGACTCCATCAGGCAACTACGGAGAGAGGGCAATACAGTGACGGTGATATGGACCCCGGCACATGAAGACAACAAGTGGAAGAAGATCGCCAAAGAAAGGGCACAACAGGCCACCGGGTCGAAGGCTCGACCACCAACACAAAGGCCCGGGATGAAATCTACAATGCTCAACGCGGCACGAGCCAAACGAGGCCCCACCAGAGGCCTGCCAGAGAAGGTCGGAGTACATTCCAAGAGAGTTGACACAGCATTACCCGGCAAACATACAAGGCGGCTGTACGATAGACTGCGATGGAAGGAAGCGAGCGTGCTGGCCCAACTGAGGACGGGCATGGCAAGACTGAACAGCTATCTTTACCGGATCAACGCTGCTTCATCGGATCTATGCGCATGCGGATGTGCGAGAGAGACAGTTGAGCATTTCCTCTTCCGATGTACCAAATGGACAGCGTTCCGAACGGCGATGCTCCATTGCACAGAAACTCACAGGAGCAACCTATCTTTCTACCTAGGCGGAAAGTCACCGACGGATGACAAGTCTTGGACTCCAGACCTGACAGCAGTCCGGGCAACGATTCGATTTGCAATGGCGACAGGACGACTGGATAACACCACCTGACGAAACCACCACCCCCCCTCTCATCATCATTCCGACCCCCTCTGTCTCAACTCGTGGCACAACAAGCAGGCGCGCTTCAGCTGCTGAGGATAGGATGCTGAACACTTGAAGAATGGTCTTCAAGCCAGACTGCCATGGTAAGTTTACTAACACGAGACTCCAAAACGACGTAGCAAGCGAGCGGAGCTGCACAGCGAAGAGGAGATTTAATTTGTATGGGCTTTAAGGAGACTAGGTCATATCTTGAGAATTGTATTAGCAGCTTAGCTTTAGCTTGCCCTTTCGGCTTTGCCGCCGGTCGTAATAAATTGTGTGTGTGTGTGTACTGCAACACCAGCCAACGATTTGCCTCCCACACCTCCTGCCTCCCTGTCGATATTGCTACCTCCGAAATGGTTGGCTCTCGTTGTTCGATGACAGTCACCCTAAAGTTTCGCAAGAGGCACGGACCCTAGGATCTGGCCACAGCATTTCAGATGCACACGAATGGGATTGATAGTCGTTATTAGCGTGTCAATAGTCCTCTCCATCCCCATGTTGGAGGACACAGTATCATTTCCTCTTTCGACGAGTTGCCTTAGTCCTGAACTCCACAGCCCGATGGCTTCCTGGCGTCTGCTCCTCGCCTCTCCTCCACATCTTTCAATGTAAGCGGCTCTTGGGAGACAGGCTCCAGCCTCTGAAATTCCCCGAATCGTCCAGTCAAAGACGTTGTCACGCTATGATTCCTTCGTATCAGCCTTTCTTCGACGCCTTCTCTTTCGATCACATCTGCCTACAAGGGCTCGCTCCGTCTTTTGCTCCCCAACGCTAGGACAGGGCACAGGACGTTGCTGATTCATATTTGATGGCCTTTCAAACTCCCGAATCGTCCAATCGAACACATTATCATGCTCGAAACCCTTGCGGCGAAAGAGGCGACCGAATAAGCCCCGGAGGTACTTATAATCTGGCTTATCCAGTCCACGAATGTAGTTCATGGAGGTTATAAACTCCGCGGGCAGACCCCGGTATGGTTCGGCTACCTTGATCGTCTGCTTCCGCTCGAAAACAAGCCTATTTATCCTGCTATTAGAGAAACTAAGCATCCAAAGGTCAAACGAGAAGTTAATCATCACCTCGACGAGTAAATCCAAAGCATGAACTTAAATCATTTCAATTTTCTCAACGAGTAGATAAGTTTAGCGAACGAAATCGGGCTACTAACTTTCCGAGCTCGGCCTCTGGAACAGTAGAAGATAGTTCATTAGCTAAGACTATCATCGCGCGTTCGTTTGATACTGGAAGCTGTCAAAGGCCATTAAGAACGTTCGATCATTAGGATATTAGGTCACAGTACTAAGCACAAAAAGAAATATAGCTATG